CTGATGACTATTACACTGATAATAGAAAAAAAGTTTGTTTCTTTGTTTTTTAAGAAGGGAAAGAAATATTGCAGCTCAGTGGTCAAGGCTTCTTCTCCCAGCCTTGGGCAGAGACTCCAAAAATCCATGTTAGAATGGATAAAACCTTCAGGGCCCTTCTTGCCTCTTGCCCCTTCCTCATTAGGTTTCTCATTAGGTGCCCACACACAGAATAAATGAGGTTTTCTTTTCCTGGGTAGAAAGGCTGTGCCATGGAAATAAAGTCAAGGAAAAAGAGAAGATGCTGGTATTTTATCAAAGGATTTAAACTAAAAGGGGTCCTAGAGATAGCATCACAATCCCCGCTTCATTTTATGGATGAAGAACTTAAGCATCAGTGAAGAGAAATTAATGGTTCAAGGTCATTAGGTAGTAAGTATTAGAGACAGGATTGGAATGCTGATATTCTGACTCTAAATCATTTAGTGCTTTTTTCCCTGGCATTTTTCCTGGCACACTGCATTTCTCTGGAACCTGTCAGGCCAGTGTCTATATAAATTCATGGAAATGATCACTGTACCATTATTGAGATCTTCCAAGTGAAATGGAGCCAAAGCTGCCTTAGTGAATGGCTGGGAGGGAGACCTGAAATCTCTCTGAGCATCTACTGTACTGTTGGGATTTTACGTAGGTCCCTCTGGCTCTCTGGGCTTCAAGTAACAATAAAAACAAACATTTATTAAAAAAAAATATTCTTTGCATCTATTATCTCATTATATTTTATTTTATTTACTTTTGGAGGCAATTGGAGTTAAGTCACACAGTTAGTAAATATCTGAGGCCTGATTTGAATCAGGTCCTCCAGACTCCAGGGCTGGTGTTATATATCTACTGTGCCCCCTAGCTGCACCCCTCATTTGATTTTCAAAATAACCCCGTGATACAGATACTATAGTTTTATCCCACTTTTACAGATGAGCTAGCTGAGGCTCAGTAACAGTAGGTGATTTCTCTGTGTTTATAATCTGATGATGTCCCTAGAGGTGGGTTCTGAGCCTCCTCTTATGCCAAGTTGGGCTCTCTTTTCATCTTAGTAGCTAGAGTGAAGGGGTTAAACTAGTTGCTTCCTAAGAGCCCTTTGGACCCTAAGATTCTTTGTTCTGGAAATCTGTCAGGCAGGGGTCACAGAACAACCTTCCCTACCAGGTATTCAGTGGGGGAGAATGAGCTAGCCCAACAGAAAGAAAAACCCTTCCCTTTCCATTCCGGTGTGCACTGTCTAAGCCTGTGTCTTTCTTGAATGCCTAGGTGCCATGGTGATTGGTGTCATAGAAATGCTATGAGGGAGAGGAAGAGGGAAAGCTCTCTGTGTCTGTCACTATATTTATCAGCCACAAAAATATACACCTCCCTTTCCTGGCAGCCTCTTAGCTAGAGTGGGATGACGGCAAAGCAATTCAGGGACTGGGAAAGGGAATCGGATAGGGCTGATTTTCTTCTTTTGTGGCTTGGCTGGTGCCCTCCCCCACCTATTGGGAATCCCTTTCTCTCTTGCTTAGATCAGCTTCTTAGGGACCTATGATACACTGGGATGGGGGCATTCGGTTGTGTGCTTTGGAGGTAACCCTAGGATTGTACCTTCAGTACTAGGATTTTAGAATCATGGATCTAGGCCACACACCCTTCAGTTCTATTCAGCGAACATTTATTAAGTACCTACTATGTGCTGTGCTAAACACTGGGGATACAGATGAGAAAAAGAGAAAGGCTCTGCCCTCAAGGAGCTTACAATCTAACGTGGGGAGACAAGACTCAAAAGGCAGCTGAAAGAGGGAAGGACACCAAGGGGTACCTGGCATGGGGGTGGTTCTGCGGAATTGAAGCTAAGCAGAGCATCGCTGATTAAGGCCTAGAGAGTGTAAGTGACTCTCCTAGGATTACAGATCTAGTGTCTGAAGTAAGACTTGAACCCAGGTCCTGTGATTCCAAATGCAGTCAGCTCTTCCACTCTTCTGCTTTTCCCAGAGGATAGCTCTAGGACTGTCCATTCAGAAGCCTTCTGTCTTGTTCCATTTGGTTATATGTCAATCACAGGCCTATAGGAATAATGACTGACACTTGGAAGAGGCCTCGGAGGCCAGCAAATCCCAGCCCCTCATTTTGAAGATAAAGAAACTGAAGCCCAGAGAAGTGAATCATTCTGGGCCAAGTTTCACAGTTTGTTACCAACTGCATTAGGACTTGAACCTGGATCTCCTCACGCCCAGTCCAGAACCACATAAGAAATAACTTTGTGTATGTGTGTTTTGTGTGTGTGTGTGTGTAAGTTTATTATATTTTATTTTTTATTTGAAGAAAGGGAAGTCTGGGGAGGAATTCATGGTGAATAACTGAAACTGACAGCTTATTTAGAAGACAGATCTGAGTCTTCTCCAGCAGAGGAGTGGATGGGTTTTTTTTTTTTAATTTTCATATCTTATTTTGAGTTCCAAATGCTCTCCTTCTCTCTGGCCCCTCCCCAATCTATTAAGAAGGCAAACAACATAAGAGAGTATCATGGGAGGTAAATGGATAATTTTGATTAAATTTAAAAGATTTTGCACAAAAAAACCCAATGCAGCCAAAATTAGGAGAGTAGGAAACTGGGGGAAATTTTTTTACAGCAAATTTCTCTGATAAAGGCCGCATCTTTCAACTATATAGGAAACTGAGCCAAATTTACAAAAATAAGAGCCATTCCTCGATTGATAACTGGTCCAAGGATATAAACAGGCAGTTTTTAGGAGAAGAAATCAAAACTATTAGTAGTCGTATAGATTGTTCTTTAAATAAGATTTTCACACCATAATGGGCCACCAAGGATGTCTAGGGATGGCTGGGGTCCGTTGTGTCTAGCTTTGGGAGAGTTGTTTCTTTGACAAATAGGTTGAGGGTGCCAGTGACCTTCCAGTCTCTCAGGTGTCTAACCTTGATTTCCTTCTTGACTCCTCACTTGTACTCACCCCACGTATCCGATCTGTTGTCACATTTCATTTTTTTCTACTTTCACAATGCCTCCTGTATCCATCCCCTGCTTTCTACTCCTGCAGCCACCAGTCGCCTTTCTGCAGGCCCTCTTCATCTCTTGCCTGGCCTATTATATTTCAGTAGCCTTCTGGTAGGTCTTCCTGCCTCAAATCTCTCTTTGCTCCAATCCGTCCTGTGCTCTTCCTAAAGCCCAGGTCTGATCATGTTCCCCCCCTTACTCAGTAAACTCCGGGGCTCCTCATTACTTTCCATCATCGAATATAAAAAATGCTCTGTTTGGCATTTAAGGCCTTCCCAGTCTGGTGCCTTCCTAGCTTTCCAGGTTTCTTACGTTTTATTCCCCATCATGTACTCTGTTGTTATTATTGTTGAGTTATTTCATTTGTGTCTGAATCTCCATGAGCCCATTTGGGGTTTCCTGGGCAAAGATACAGGATTGGTTTGCCATTTCCTTCTCCAGGAAGGGAATCTTCATTTTACAGATGGAGAAACTGAGGCAAAAGGGGTTAAGTGATTTGCCTGGGGTCACACAACTAGTAAGTGTCGGGGGTCAGATTTGAACTCAGGTCCTCCTGACTCCAGGGCCAGCAGTCTATCCACTGAGCCACCTAGCTGTCCTACAATCCAGCAAATGGGCCCATGGGCTGGTCCTTACCTACAGCATCATCTCCCAAATTCATCTTTTCACTAGTTGCCTCCCAGGCCTGGAACGCTTTCCTTCCTCACCTCTGCCCACTGGCTTGCTTGAATTCTTTTAAAACTCACCTCAAATTCCACCTTCAGCAGAAAGTCTTTCCTGCCCTCTTGCATCCTCACAAAGTGCCTTCTCTTTGGGATCAGCTTCCATTTGTACTGTATGTATCTTGCATGTATGTATGTAGTTACTTTCAAGTTTTCCCTCCCATTAGAATGTGAGTTTCTTGAGGATAGGGATTGTTTGTTTGTTTGTTTTTTTCATTTCTTTGTGTTCTCAGACCTTAGGCACAGTGCCTGGCACATCATAAATGGTTAATAAATATTTGTAGACTGACTGAAATATAGTACTTTTTTGGAGTGCTTGCAGAAGCAACAGCCCTATGCTGGGTGGACCATAAGGCCAACCTCGGTTGATAATCTTTTTGTAGTAAGAAATAGTATAGTGCTATGGAAAGTGGATGAGGAAGAGTCAGAAGACATGGTTTAATGACGTTGTATACAGTTATCTCTTCTACATTCTGGGGGTGAGGGGAACAGCGCTCCTGCAATCTGGAGAATCCAAGAAAAAATTATGGCCCTCTCTTTGTACCAGAGAAGTCGTCTGAATTTTTTTTCTTTGTCTTTTATTAAGTGTTTTACAGTGCCTTATTGTAAAATTTGGGTTAAGCATTTGGTCATAGGCTATATTATACAATACTATACATAGATTTTATGCATTTCTGAGTTTCTAAACTTTTTCCATGTCATCTGCTGGCCTTTGTGTGTCATCTGCAGCTTCTGCAAAACTCCCCCCAAATTCCCATTTAATTCCTTATGCTGACCCACAATATGTCAAAACCACAATGGGGAAAGTTGCAATGTGAAAGAGAGTACTGTAAATCATTTAATCCTGTATGGCTACAGTTTCCTTATCTGTAAAATGGGGATAATAATACTTGGGCCAAGAGGCGACCTGGCACAGTGGATAGAGAGCCACCTTCAGAGTCATGAAGCCCAGGGTTCAAGTCCAATTTTGGACACAAACCATAGGACTCTAAGTAAGTCACTTAACCTTTTGATGCCACAGGAAACTCTAGAACTATAAATAGCAGAGAAAAATCTGTGTTAGCAGAAGAGAATTCTTTGTAACTATGCCAGTGATATAAAAGGTCCAATCCAAAAGACAAATGACTAAAAATTTTGGACATACATACCTCACAGCATATTTGGGAGAAACTGCTTTGTATATTCTAAAAATGAGATAGTAATGTAAACTATTATCATGACTAAATCTTACCCTATTTTTTTTTTTATTGTAGTGACCTGGACAGAAATAATATCACCAGAATCACCAAGACGGACTTTGCAGGGCTCAAAAATCTCCGAGTCTTGTAAGTAACATGGCTGGCCATCTGATGGTCCTTGTTTTCTGTCCTCTTGGAAAATGGGCATGAATTTCCTACAACCCCAGACAGGATATATACTATATGGGATGAAAGGGCACAGTGTTCTACCAGCATTGCAGAATCCCATTCTCTAGCCTCTCTCAGGTGGCCTGGCTTAAATATATGGCCCCATCTCCTGTGGGCCAGTGGTGCAGAGTTTGGTCAAACCAGTGGGAAAAGAGTATCTTCATTACAAGGAAGAGAGGAGGTTGTGTGAAGAAGTAGATCACCATGCTCCTGCTCTCATGCTGGTAGCAATAAGTTCAGGTTGGCTAGCCATACAGATTCCCTTCTACATGTAACTACCTATGGTAACTGGCTTTACTGTTGTGACCTTCTATGTGGTTTCCTTTTCCATATTAAACGGTCCCTCCTAGAATGATAGAAATGGTAGAACCACAGAGTTGTAAGGAAACTCAGAGATCACCCAGACCCTCCTCAAAAATGAATCTTGTCTTATACTACCCTGACACATAGTTATCTGGACTCATGTGGGGCTTAGGGGCCGCCAAGATTTTCAGTGTCTCCTTCTCCAAAGCAGCCCATGCCATTGCAGCGAGGGAGAGCAGCTCTAACACTTTAGGATCCTACAAACCTCAAGCTAGCAAGGTGGCCTTTTCAGGTCATTCTATATAGTCCTAGAACCAGAGGAGGTAAGATTTTGAAAGAGAACTTTATTATATCTAGTCTCCTTTTTTTCTATTGTAATTAAGTGTCAAATGATTTGCATCACTGATTGGTCAGGATAGAAATTTGGGCTAAAATTTGGGATTGGAGTGGATTCTGAAGACATTATGTTAAATGAATTAGTGAAAAGAAATAAGAGCAGTAATTCTCTGATACCAGGCATTTGATCAGTTAAAGAACTGAATTTTCTTTCAGCAGGATAGATATTTTTTAATATAAAAATTGGGGTGAAGGAAATGGAGGGCCTTCTGATTTCTACATCTGTGAGAAATTTTTTTGCAGCAAAGACATTTCACCCGATGTTTCATTTTCTAGCATGGCTGCTTATGGGGTGTGTGTGTGTGTGTGTGTGTGTGTGTGTGTGTGTGTGTGTGTGAACAAAGCATAGAGCTTTGGTTTTCTTCCTATTGCATTTGAAAGCCTAATAAAAATTCCAATTCCCATATCTGCTTTCAGCAAATATGAAGTTTAAAATAATCACAAAAGATTGTATTAATATCCTCTGGATGGTCTACAGCATTCCTTTTACAGCAGTTTATCTCCTGAGTTAATTGGGACATTCTTCCTGTTTGATAAGCCGTGCCAAAAATGTCCCTGCCTGTTCATAGACTGTGTGAATATACTGTGTTTTATTATCTGCCTTATCTACTCTGAGACAATCCAATCTGAGTGCCCCCTTTTTACACTGAAAGACTGCTACATAAGGTGACTGAAATACTTCCTAACATACACTAGTAAAATACCAAGACATTTTGGCCATATTTTTCCTCAATGTATTCTTTCTAGCTTGAGTAACCTAGACAACTACTCTCTTTGAAAAGCTTTCATCACACCCCAGCACATTCTCCATATCTGCTTCTTATTTACAGTTTGTAGTGAAGCCAAAAAAAATCAATACTCCTGAATAATTTTAACTTACCACCCCATTTGCCACATAGGGCTGTTAATGTTGTGCAGGTGAAGGGGCAGGATCAGATGGAATGGTTTGGGGAACTTCAACCTCATCCCCATTATAATTTTCTGCAAAATGAAATCCATTCATGGAGAAGACTTATGGATTACCCAATAAGGGCTCATTTTCTTGAGAGGTTGGAGGAGGGGAAGGGAATGGGGAAAAAGATTCTTCTAGTGGTATCAATTAGCCTGCTTTTCTGAATAATATGTCGCAAGGATTCTGCTATGTTTAAAATATGGGAACCAGCTTTATTCCAAATGGGGTCAATAAAAGAGTTAAAATCCTCCCTAGCCATCATCACATGTGGGTAATTTCTGAATCTAATTCAGTGTTAAAACTAAAAAACAACAATGCTAAAAAAGCAGAAAATGAGCAAAGTCTGTGTTGCCCTAATTCGGAGCAGACCCAGGGTATGACAAGCTAATTGTCCTGGTGTCCAGTGCCTTCTGGGTCCTGGTATACCTTCCTCAGCCTGGTGCCTCCAAATGAATTTGCTATGAAGATGGAATTCAGAATGGCTACTGGCAAGTCAGGCTTGTCATAGCGTGGACCTTTTAGCAAAGACTTCTAGATGTGATGTTATGAGATCAGAACGTGTGTGAGCTAGAAGAGACCTTAGAACATGGAATGTAGAACAGCATGTAGAATGTAGAACTTTAGAATGCAGAATGGTAGAGCTTGAAGAGACCTTGAATGATGGGTAACAGAATTTTAGAGATGGAAGGGAATTGAGCCATCATCTACCTCAACTCTATCACTTTACAGGTAAGGGAACTGATGCTCAGAGAACAGTTTGGTGACTTGCCCAGGGTCACAAACCTGGTTTATTTCTCTTCCCATTACATAATGTTTCAGTTTTCTCATTCTTGTGAAAGAGAGTCTGGAATATTCTAGTGGCTGGTACAGAATGGTAGGGCCAGGGTCAGGGGCTGGGGGGAGGACAGGGGGAGGCTGACAGGGATAAGGGACAGGAAGTGCTCCATGGGAGGTTTGTGAGAGGCCCCTCCAGAAAAATAGCCTCAATGTGACAGCTCAGCTGTTGTCAATCTGGCCCTTGTGCAAAAATTTAAAAAATACCACCACCAAGTCTTGTGGCTTGTTTTACTGATTTAGGGGAAAATCACAAATGAACAAACTTACAAGTACAATAAAATTGTGCTTTCCATAGAGGGTTCCAAAAGACATATGAATTTTCAGTGTTAATTTTTATCTGAGTCCCGACTCCTGAATGTATTAGCAGTATGATTGGTGGACAAGTCATATAATCTGTCAGACGACTCTATTTCCTTAGCTCTTAAATGGAGGTCAAAATAGTTGTACTGCCTACATCACTATGTTGTTGTGAGTAAAAGCTCTGGATAAAGTGCTATGTAAATGTTAGTTGTTATCATCGTTATTCCCTGTGACATTGCAGTCAGAACACCTGGCTTTACTGCTAATTTGCTGTGTGACCTTTGACAAATGAATTCCCTTCTCTGAGCCTCGAATTCCTCCTCTTTCAAATGAGAGGTTTTGATTAGCTAGTCTGTTCTAGCTGTGAAATTCTATGATTCTGTTCAGTCTGTGATTTTTTGGCATTAATTCCTCCCTTCCTTTCATATTAATTGTGGGTTATGTTGTGACCAGGCTCCTTTGTCTTCTACGTCTTGGAAGAATGATGGTTTGGCTTTCCTAGTTTTACTTATATCTCCTTCAGACCTTCTCTCCCTTGCCTTAACCAGAGAAGCCTGCAACCTGTCTCACCTTCTTCCCCTTTCTGAAAAAAAAAAAAGTGGTTCCCTGGGTTGCAGCTCACCAGAGGTCTCAGGCTCTCTGCTAAATCCTGTTCAGGCCTAACCAGAGCCAAACATCTTGACCTGGCCCTAGAACAGTCACATGCAGAAGAAGACGCAGCAGCTTCTTTCATAGTTCCTTCCCCCGTGGTCATTTAATCCACATTAAGCTGCCATGTTCCTTTTTTTTTTAAGTTAGTAAAACAAATGTTTTCTTGTACATCGAAGCTGAAATAGAAGGGTTTAATCCCTCAGGAAGATTAGAATGAACCTAAAGGAATCAAACTTGTATAAGTAGAGAGTTTAATAAACCATTATTGGGGAGAATTGATTGGTCTGTTTTGGTGATTTGAGTCATTGAAGAGACCTAGTTTCTCTCTTCAAGGGTCCTATTGTCCATTTCAGTCAAGGACTTGTTCGCTCTCCCACCACCTCACAGTGGCATTGCATCCCTGAGGCGCTGGGCACTAGGAGACAGAGGAGGCTGTGGAATCTGGATGGCTCTCTTAGCTGTGGTCAGTACCCAGAAAACACTTTCCTCCAATAAGGGTGTCCCTGGGGGCTAGGGTGAGCATAGTTTACGTGAAGTGTTTTAAACTCCTTGGAGGAAAGGAGCACTGGGTAGAGAGATGCTGATTATTTTTGTGGCTTTTGAAAGGAGCAGCTTTCCCTCTTTCTTTTCTTTGCAACACCCTGCAGTGCTTGGGGGGACATTTGCTGGGAACATTCTTAAAATAGATGCATGGAAACCAATCTGTCAGGTAGAAGTGTGCGGGCGGTTAAACCCCCGGTTACCGTGGTGCTGAGCTGGGATGGAAGTGATTAACTTCCCTTCCCCCCCAAAAAACCAGCCCAAAACTTATTCAAGATTGAGCAGGCGAGAGTACACGTGGGACCCCTGGACGTGGCCACTGACCCTTCCACAAACACGAATGTGGAGCAAGTAATAGGCAGAGACCAACATTGCCCTGACTCGTGTTGTTTCTGTGGTTCCAGGCATCTTGAAGAAAACCAGGTCAGTGTGATAGAGCGAGGGGCCTTCCAAGATCTGAAGCAGTTGGAACGCTTGTAAGTACCTGGTCACCCTTTTCTGAAAAGTAGATTCCGGTTCAGTCTTCTTGAAATCTTACAGATAGGAAATGTTGAGTTTTAATGGAGATGTTTACTCTTGTATTTAGAGCTCCTGGATGTATTTTGAAGAGATGCTGCTGCTGTGATCAACTTTAATTATTTTTATTTCTTTCATAAAAGAAAGAATGCAAAAAACCCCCTCCCTAAAAATGGCCCCTTACCTATAAATAAGGGAGGCCACAGGATTGGAAAGAACCTTAGATTTGACTAAGACAATCCAGGTTTGAGTCCCAGCTTTGATGCTCGCTACTTACTGCCTGTGTAACCTTAGACAAGTCATTTCATCTTGCTGGGCCTCAGTTTTCTCCTCTGTAGAATGAAGAAGTTGAACTAGTTGGCTTCTGATGTCCCTTCTGGCTCTGAAGACACAACTCTGATTGTTTCTTTTGGAGCTTCCAGTCTGACTCAATATTTAAGCCATTGAATTTTTGCCTCATATTAGGTCATCTCCTTTTGGGTGGGAGAAAAGCTCATAGGACTTCCTTCCGTGAAAACGAGAATCACTGTTACTCACTGTCCTTCCTAATTTTGGCAGCAAAAGCTCCATTTCTATACTTTAGCATTCTTTCTTTCTTTTCCTTCCTTCTTTCCTTCCTTCCTTCCTTCCTTCCTTCCTTCCTTCCTTCCTTCCTTCCTTCCTTCCTTCCTTCCTTCCTTCCTTCCTTCCTTCCTCTTTCTTTCTTTTTTCCTTACCTCCTTTCTTCCCTCTTCTCTTTCTCTCCCTTTCTCCCTCCCTTCCTTCCTTTTTAAATTTAATTTTCTTCAATTACCAAAAATAAATATTTTCTCCTTCCCCCACCCCCAGCATTGGACCAAAAAGAAAAAAGTTAAACAGAACTCCTGTAACAAATATGCATAGTCAAGTAAAACAAATTCCCGAATTGACCATGTATATCTCATTTTTTGCATGTTTCATGCCCTCAATCCATTCCTACTAAGAGGTGAACACTGTTTTCTTTCAGGACCCCCTCTACCCCATTTTTGTATGAAGGGAAGGATGAGGAGCAGAGGAATTTGGTGCATATTCGTCTGCTAGCATCAGCCACAGCCCCCAGTGTCACCAAGCTCACATCTTTCTACAAGAGAATAGCTTTGCCTGTGGTTTAAAAATAAGTCAGCGGCTTTGCCTTTGTGAGCAACAGAAATGGAGCCCCAAGAATATGACATATACTTGCTTTTTAAATAATTTTAACTACACGCCTGGTGACTTTGGTTGAGCTGTCCCAGCAGCTAGGTGGGCCCGTTCAGTTTTTCACAGGTATCATATCTGTTCACTATATATGGATATTATCTTTTGGTTTTCTGGGTGGTGAACACCTAGATGAGTTACTACTCGTATTGGTAAGCATTTCTTTTTACTACTTCCTTCAAAGTCATGGTAGACAGGATATTTAAGGTGGTCCAACTGCAGTCTACAGAGATGGCTTTGATAGTGACATATCTTACCAGAATAATTTACTTCTTTGGCCAAATGAAGTTTTTGAGGAGGTGGTTTGGTCAACTGGAATGTCTGATGCTAACTAGCTTATGATGCCTTACGCTCTGTGAATGCTACAGGGCTGTTCTCATTCTTCCTCTGGGGTCCTCCCATATGACAGTATGGGCCCTTGCATGAAGAATAATGGTGTCCATATTTTCCTGGGTATTATTATTAATGATCTAAGACCTTCACACCAGATAAAAGTAATCTCACAATTTCCCCCTAAAAATTGGGTCCCACTCCTTAATTAGCCTATTAAAAGTTTTCATAGAAGCCCTTGCCGCTTAAATCATAGCACATGGTTTCAATGATTTGATTGGAAAGAATGTAATTTCTTTCTTGACAGGATAACAGCTAAAGATTGAATGGTAGCTAATATTCACAAAAGGGATGAACAATTAGAAAACTGATGGTTTGTGCTTCTTTTTAGATTTTGTTCTCAAGGCAAATCTTCTAAGTGAAATTTTCTGTTTTGATTTAGGAGTACGTGGACATGCTTGCTGGGTCTGGGTCACTCATGTGAATCACTAAAAGTGAAATTTGAACACATAGTTACTTTTGAAGGGCCATAATCAAGTCACAATCTCTCACTCTAAATAGCCTTGAGAATAGAAGTGTAAACAGAATCATTAATTTGACTAATTGTTCTCTGTTGCAGACACGTGGAGTTTGTTTAAATAAAACTTTGCAAATAAGCATTCATGTACTCCTTTACCTTCAGGGAACAAAGATGAAATATGTTGGTGGGCTATTTATTTCTCTTTCTTAGCCCGGTATAGTCATAGAATATGCACAGCTGAGGACCTGTAAATACTATGATTCCCAAATAACTGTGGCTCTTTGAGAACGTAGGCTAATGTACTGAGGAGCTTTGTAGAAATGATAGTCCATGGCAGCAACCTGACAGAGAGAGCAATTCGACAGGCATTGATCGTCCTGCTAAGGCAGGAGACCTTCGAAATGTAACGTCTACTTGATCTCTCAGTTCTGTTCCTTTCAGTGGATCTGTAATCTCATCAGTGTGGCTGTCATTTCCATCAATGGAGCTCACCACGTATCCATGCCTTCTCATCTCATGTGATTCCTACTGATGTTAACCCCTAGATCGTCCAGTGTGGATCTACCCAGTCTCCTGGAGGCCTTTCTCTAGGTTTTTTGTTTGTTTGTTTGTTTGTTTTAATATTCCATGGATGCTAGCGCAATATGCAGGCCAGGCATCTGTTAGCCCTTGTTATAACTATATGACTATACCACCTTCTTTTTAAAAAATCTTCATTGTGAAGTTAATCATCGCAAACAGAAACATTTTAATATACAAAGAATAAGACAGAGTATTGTATAAGAAACTGTGAGTTTCTGTTACATATGGTATTTTTTTCTCCTCTACAACTCAAATAGATCCTAAATTGAACAAGATAGTGCCAAAATTGCTCTGCTACTTTGGGTCCCTTTTGCCATTTTTTTCCTTCTTTGCACTTATTTTTTTCTGATGCTGTTTTTGCCTCTCCATATATGTCACAAACCACTGACCTGCCCTCTCTTCCCCTCTTCCCCTCCCCGCCAAAGAAGACCTCTTGTAACAAGTCATTTATTTCCTGGCTCATATCCCTTATATTACTTCTTGTGTGCTACAGTCTACTTTTGTTTTCCTGTGTCCCTTATGGACTCCCACAATTAGAATTCTTCAGTAATTATGGTGTTCCAAGATTCACAACCCTATACCATCACCTCAGGAGAACACTGGTGTTAAAAATATGCATATTGGGGAGAAGATTGGGTCATTAAAAACACCAGGCAGTTTCCCAAAATACAATCCCAAATCCTCCCTTTTTGCTATTCAATTCTTATTTCACTTCATTATATATTTGCAGTGCCTCTCCTAGATGAATGTACTGACACACTAACTCAGTTGATTGGCTATCCAGCTGGACGCCATGGTTTGGTTAACATGAATTCTTTTTCAATTTGTTTTCCCCAATTTGTTTGAGGCTGATTGTTAGGCTTTTCTCTTGGATAATCATGGCTGTCATTGAGGAGGCTGTGTAATGTTCTGAGACTTAAGGCAATCCGCACAATATTGCATGAAAACAGGAATGTATAGAGGACTTCACAATCTGTAGGGGATCTTTCTCCCATTTAGAATCTGCCCAGGACATCCTGAGCAGTAGCAAAACCCTTGCTGACCATATGTCTTCCTGTTTCAAACATCGCTTGACATGAAAAATGTGAGGGTCATTGAACTAGATATACTTCTAGTTTCTCTGATCAAGGTATATTACATTAGCTTCACATATACATAGAAGACTCATTTTTAGAGGACAGCCTTTAAGGATGCATTTTACTCAATTGAATCAAATAAATGCTTTTTTAAGAAATCAATATGCAATAAACACAATGGGTGCTTCTGTTCTTTGCACCTTTGACTCAGTTGTGTGGCTGTAATGATGAAGTCTGCTGTTAAAATACACTCACAAAAACCTGGTTTTCCTCTCAAATTTTCTTCAAGGATACCCTCATTGTGTCAATGTCTATGTAGAACTTTCCCATCCAAATTTAATCAATTTTAGAAAGTAGGTTGTCATTGGTCTAGACAAAGATGCATTCTTCATCCATTTTGGTTGTCCTGGATGAATATTTGAAACAAACTCTTTTGAGCAGGAAGTCCTGCATTATTCTAGGGATTGGAGTGATTGGCATATCTTCCTCAAACAGGCATATCTGGAGGGCTTCATCATCTTTGAGGAATCTCCCTTCCATGTAGACTCTGTGTTGAACATCATATTATCACATAATTTCAGAATTGGGAAGGACTTCAGCAGACGTCTCGTCTGATCCACCTTCCCCTCTCCCCCCCACAAAGGATCACCATTAAAACATAACTGACATTTGATCATCCAACCTTAATGTGAATTCCTCCAGTGACAGTGACAAATATCCTTGGTGAGCATACAGCTCCATTTTTTATGCCTTGCTTGATGTTAATAATCATAAGGAACTTGATGCAACACTTACTGCATCTTTCAAAGACTTATGTATGATTTTGACACTAACATGAAAGATGTCTTGTTTGGATGAAAGCTTAAAGCTTTTTTTTGTTTTTGCTTTACCAAATCACATGCTTTTTAAAAATATATAGGTATCAGTAAACAATTGGCACAGTAAAATCTTGTGTTCTCTGCAAATATTTGGTTTCAAACTCAAATAGAAATGGGGGACTATTAATTCAGGTGGAAGAATCTCTGGGGGTTGCACATGGAGTTAGTTTTAACATGTAATGTTATCTGTGTCTTAATTGTATTTTTATTTCTTTTGCTGAATCTTTCCCAATTACATTTGAATCTGGTTCAGGACCTCAAGCCACACGTTTGATACCTCAGCTCTACACCATTCTGTCAGCCCACAGAGCCAGTCAATCGGTGTATGCATCTTGGACGTGCACTGCAAATAGAAAGTGAGC